TTTCTGCATTAGAAGGAATCTAAAACAAAAAATTTGGTAGTGTTCACCCACAATTTCCCAATTTGGATCTCTTCAAAGACTGCGCATAATAAACTTGAATTGCTTGACTAGCTAAAACAAATGGCTCATTCGTACTAAGCCTTCGCGTTGTGTTGATGATAATAGTGTCGTGTTCATCCTTCTTGTAACCAACGCCTTTGTGAACGGTGTCATACAACTCACACTGAAATAGTACAACTCAAAGCCCTTCAGTATAACGAAGCTCAATGATGTCGGTAAGAACGCCATAGTAAGGAATTCCACCGTCGTTCTCCCCTCTGACCAGCACACTAGTGTTCTGGCTGCTTTTGGTTAACTCGCGAGTACGAGTGTGAACTCTGAATCCATGATACAATTGCATGTGTAGTGCAGGACTCGTTTGTCTGGCTCTCGAGCTAAGGATAACAAAGAAGGATTCAAATCTAACACTTATCATTGTGCATTCATGGAATCTGCAATAATTGTAAGGATAAAATTAAAAACAGCTTTCAATAATTTTTTTATATCAAATTTTAATCATATATGACATACATACCTCCAATAAGAGCCACTTAGCAAATTCTTTCTTATGCGCTTCTTCAACCATAAGAGCACCTCGAGTACTTTGTTGTTCCTTGTGATTTCTATAATTTACGTTGCACAAAATATGTTACTAATTAAAAAAATTATATTCTAGCATACAACAAATAAAAATTGGTATATATATGTACCTTATAAAATCTTGCACCTCATCACAGTTTTGTAGAACATAAGAAGTTGTTGCCTTCCACAAAACAGTATTGAAGTCTATGGAAGTGCCTTGTTACAAAAATCTCAACTCATTATCTATTTTTTGGGTGGGTTCGGGTCGGGTCAACTGGTCGGGTCGGGTCAACGAGTCGGGTCCTCATTTGCAGGGTCTACTAAATTGTTTAAAAAATTTCAAATTAACTTCATAAAGTTACTAAATGTTAGTATATATAAGCAATTTAGTGTAATTATATATCATACCTTTCAATAACATGTAAGAGTATGTTTACCCGCCACATCCCTTACCCACGCGGATATTCTTTGTCGGCATTCTTTTTCTTCTCTTACCGTTCCTCTCCTGAAACAATGTAAACTCACCCGCCCCGACCCACATATATGTGGCGGGACATGAATATTGAGCTACCCGCCCAGACCCGCCGCATTGTCATCACTACCTCCGAGGCTAACGTGGAGCACAATATTTTTTAATTCCTTTTAAATATAAAGAAGTAAGATAAATATATGTTTTTATTTTGGCGAATAAATTATTTTCGTCAGTGTATCTACTTTCTTTGACGTCATGTTGGAAAAATGTAGTTTAACGAAAGTTTGGTGGCATTCGTAAAATAATATTTCTGACTGTCCGTCGAGAATAATAATTATTGACGCACAAACAACCTCACAAATGTGTGTACAACGTATCAAATAAAATATCTCGCTCAAATTCTCGTTACAAATATTTATTTCCGACGATTTGTCAACGTTAGTATAATAGTATTAATGACGGCTAGTTAGAAATGCTTGATTATTTACGAATAAAATTCGTCAAAACGAAAAAAATTGTCGTCAATAAAAAATTCGTCAAATTCGGCCGTCATGAGTGATTTCTTTGTGATGTCATATTTTTTATTACTAACGATTTTATGTCGCCGATAATATTATTGTTCCGACGCCTAGTCAGTAATATTTTATTAGCGACGGGACAATTTCTGACGACGTCCGACGACTATATGTCGTCGGAAAAGTTCATTTCCGACGCAAATTGATTTATTTCGACGAAAAACTTGACGTCGGTAATGACTGTCTTTTTTGTAGTGATTAGACTATCTTACCTTTGATACATTCACATCTTAGTTTCAAATCTCGCGTCTAACAACCAATAAAAAATTTGTCAATACGTCGTACTAGAACATGGAATTTGTTTGTTTCATAACCTAGCAAAATGAATATAATCTTGTAGAGCATACTTAATATGATTTTTTCGTATAGAAGGAAAATATCGAGGTAAACGAATAACTTATGATTCCTTTAAAAGAAAATATGGAGAGGTTATGTACGCAGTTGTGTATAATTCTAGCTATACACATAATGTTGAGCATACAAATAAATCGATTGACAAAAATGAAGATGGTGGCAAGAGAGAGAACTCGTCTAAAGATCGAAAAGACTTAAAGTCGACCCTATAAAAGCAATACTTTTTTTATAAGGATGATAAAAATTTACTTTATATTATTAAGGTACTATTTAATGAATTCGAACTTGGGAACTCCAGGTTATTGGTTGGTGGTATTACTACTAGACCAAGTCCTTGTTCGTTCTTGTAAAGCAATACTTTCGAACATGAATTGCAACATCACCTATTATGTGTTAATTTTGTAAGAAAAACCTTTAGGTGTTAATGTAATCGATATAAAACACATCAATAATGAAACCACAACCCTAACAACGAAGATCGAAGAAATAAATTGGCGTAAACTTCCAAATATCGATACTATAAAGCAATACTCTAAACATTAAGCATAACATTATCTTATTGCGAGTTAATGATCGATATAAACAATACATCAATGATGAAAGCCATGCTCCTAACAAGTAACAACAAAAGAGTGAGAAAACTAGCTAGTAGCAAATTAATAAAATCGACTCGATAAAGAAAATAGTTAAAAGTTAAATTGCGGACAAATATAAGCAAATGAGTGAATCCATGAGTTATAAATAAGGAAAAATTTATAATTCCCTACATAACAATATATATATATATGGTTCATGCTATCGTACGCCCGGGCGTACGTTAGACTACCGTACATCCGTTTTGAGTTTTGTTATTTAGATAATGAATTAATCGGAGTTTTGTGCATGATACTATACCCTAACCACTAATGGATAAACCCCATTCCTAGTTTCTAACCCAAAGCATAATATTCATTTAATCTTGAAATGAAAATGAATGGTTCTGATTCGTCGAAATTATTGTTGATTTTCATTATAAGATTAAACGAATCTCATTATTTGGGTTAGAAAACTAGGGATTGGAGTTTATCCATTAGTGTTTAGGGTATAGTATCATGCCCAAAACTCTTGGTATTATCAAGACGTCGTCAACGGCAGATTCAGGACAGGGTAGAGCACTGGGCCACTTTTGAAAAAAGGTGGAGATGGTTGGACCGTAACGTGAAAATACTAAAACGAATACCAAAAATCGGAAATTACAAGTGCTATACTAGCTCGAGATCCAGAGGAGGGCTGGCCGCAGCCCGGGGGTGGCCCCCTGGATCCGCCGCTGGACTTCATACTACAACAGGAAATTTGTTTCGAAGCCTGCAAAATGAGTATCATATTGAAAAACTTCCTTAAAAATAATATGGAGTGGTTGTGTTAAAGTTATACACATAATGTTGAGCCATACAAAATAAATTGATCGGCAAATATGAAAATCGTGGCAAGAGATAGAACTAGTATGAAGATCGAAGACCTAAAAATCGATCCTATAAAACAACACTTTGAACATGAATTGCAACATTACCTCTATGAGTTAATGTGATCGATGTAAACACATCGATAATGAAAGCCACAACCCTAACAACGAAGAATGAAGAAAATGAGTTAGTAGAAACTTCCTAATCTCGATCCAATAAAGCAATAATCTAAATATTAAGCCTAACGTTATCTTATTACGAGTTAATCTAATATGTATAAAACACATCAATGATGAAAGTCGCAACCCTAACAACAAGGGACAGAGAAAATCAGCTAGTAGGAACTTCAGAAACTCGATTCGATAAAGAAAATTAGTTAAAAGTTAAATTGCGAAGAAATAAGAAAACGAGTGAATACGTCACCTAAAATAAGGCTAATATTCTAATTCCCTATATATGGTATACCAAAACATGGTAAAAATTGATTGCAAAACAAGAAATAAAGACAAGAATAAGTCAATGAATTTACTCATTTGATTCTCCTTCCATATATTTTGTTCCCCATGAAATGAGTTTAAATGTCTTGCCAATATACCCAGCTAATAAAAAAAAACAGCATGAAAATTAGCCCAATACCATAAATATAAATAAATAAATAAGTCAGGGAAATAAATTAATAAATTCAAAATTAGTTAGAGAGTAGAGTATTTAGTTGAAATCATACCTCTATAAATTGAGAGAATAATCGGGATAAAAAAAAAGGACTATTCCTCTTTTTTCTCCTCTTGTCTCTCACTCTCACTCCCTAAATTGCAGCCCGCGCCATTTTCAATCCCTTTTTCGCTCTCCTTTCAAGTCATAATCCAACTGGGTTTCCCTCTCAAATCTAAGCCTAGATACTCACCTGACAAAAGAATAAGAAAAGAAAAAAAAAAGCTTGGGGAGTGAACATGGCTCAGAATTCTTCTCATGGCCCAAATTTCCCCTGGAACCGAAATGCAGAGCAACAGAACCAGTATCAAAATCGGATTCAGAATTATATTTCACCGTCCTGAAACTTGGAATTCTTCTGCTGCTTCTTCTTCACAAAATGTTATTAACCAGACCAATCCCAACAATGCTACAGATTCAACTTTTAACTACAGTCTCGAGCAGGTTTCCCTCCCTCAAGATACTCTGTTTTTCTTTTCTCTGTCTCTGGCAATGGTGGAGAAGTGAACGAATTTCTTCTTTAATTCTTATGGGTTCGTTTTCTTTTTGGGTTGCAGCTGAATTTGCCAGATAACCTCAGTAGCTTGAAACCACTCGGATTAAAGCTGAACAATTCTCCCGAGCTGGCCAGGTGGATCGAGAGACAACTGAATCGTCCTCCGACCGGAAAAACCAGGCTCAGGGAACCCAAGTCCCAGGCGGCTTCCGATAAGCCGAAACCTGTCATCACTCCCGCAAGTATGCTCAAGATCGGTTCTTGGGAGGTAAAAAATGACCTTAACAGCGAAATCCACTTCCGATTTCATCTGGGTTTCATGAAATTTTTATTCCACTCTGTTTTGTGTGTGTGGTGTGAAACAGAGAGTTGCGAAGAATACGAGTGATCTGACGACCAAGTGTTACTTCGCGAAGAGGAAACTGGTCTGGGAGATATTGGAAGGAGGGTTGAAGAGGAAGATGGAAATGCAGTGGTCTGATATCATCGCCATTGACGCCTGTATTCGTGAAAAGGAGCCTGGAGTTCTTCGTATCGAGGTTTTTTGCCGCGTTTTCTTTGTGATTTTGTTTTCTGATAATGATTCATTTCATTTTCTCTGGGTTTTGATGAAGTGGGTTTGTGTGATTTATGTTGCAGTTGAATCAGTGTCCAAGTTTCTTTCAAGAAAAGGACCCGCAGCCGAGAAAGCACACAATCTGGATGCCGACATCGGATTTCACAGGCGGCCAAGCTTCGAAATGCAGGTGAAAACAAATTGGTTCTCCACGTATGCTTTTTCTTTTTTCGTGCATGTTGGTGAATTCGTGGATTTTCATACGTGTTTTCAAAGTCCGGTAGCTTTTAATATTATCAACTTAATTAAAACAGTCATATTGAGTCGATTTATTAAGATGAGTTGATTATTTGACGTGACCATATTTTGAGATTTTGATAATCGTTATTCATTAGCACTGATAGTTAATTGAATGATCGAGTTATGGAAAATTCGAATTGAAGGGACATCAATTGGTTCTTATTACGATCTTGCTATCGAAATTCTTAACTATTTAGATTAGGAAATATGATTCGAGGAAAAATGGTTATTTGACGTGATCATGTTTTGATCAACTGATAACCATTAATACTAATAGTTAATTGAATGATCGAGTTGTCGGAAATTCGAACTGAAGGTGAAGGGACATAACTTGGTTCTTAATAAGATCTTGCTCTCAAAATTCGTATAACTATTAATATTAGTAGATATGATTCTGAGGAAAGTGTATGGTATGAATTCTTGGAACTCCCTCGACAATACCAACTATCGTAACTACAATTTGTTCTTGACATAGAAATGTGTTTGATCTATGATGACTCTTCGTACTCAGAGCTATACTTAGTGTGTGTCGAGTTATTTCTGATCGTGTTTTTGAATTTTTGACATAGAAATAAATGTGTGATCTATGATGGCTCTTAGTACCCATAGCTAGATTTTACTTACAAGTTATGGGAAATACAAATTGATGGGCGCATAAACAGGTTCCTATTACGATCTTGCTCTCGAAATTCGTACAACTATTAATATTTGTAGATATGATACAAAGGAAAATAGTTATTTGACGTGATCATGTTTCGAGATTCTGATAACCATTAATACTAATAGTTAATTGAATGATCGAGTTATTTCTAGTCGTATTTTCTAATTTTTTAACATAAAAATAAATGTCTTTGATCTATGATGGCTCTTAGTACCCATAGCTAGATTTTACTTACAAATTTATTATGTGTCAAATTATTTCTGATCGTGTTTTTCAATTATGAAAATCTATAATATTATTCGTTTGACTTAATTATAAGTTATTATGAATCGATATTTTGAGACTAGTGGTTATCATTTTCGTAACCCCTACTTTTAGTAACATGATTTGCTTTTAAGTTACCTTGAATTTGTGCAAACTGATTTCGTTTGATGGGATGGATACAAAATAAAGTATGATATTGTTCAATCTTTTCTATCTAGTCGTGATATTTGAGCATATCATTTGTTAAATAACAAATTAACAATTTCAATCATCATGTTGCTAACATAGGAATTAATTTGATTTGAAAAAATGTGTTTTTTAACAACCCTCTACAATTTGGCAACACAATTTTTTCATAAGTTCCACTGATTCCTTGTTTGCTCTAATACCTTTCTTCTTCTTTTCCAGGAGGCATGAAATAGTGTTTTCACCAGGGAACCTAGACAAGCCATACAAGAGTCTTCTACAAGCCGACCAAAAACCTCTCTGAACTAAGCAGTAAGCCATTCCCCAGTCTCGAAGATCCTTACTTCCCATCTCTGTATCCCGATTTCAACCCGACCCCAACTCGGTTACGAACCCAAATCCTCAGCAGCAGTTCCCCCAGCTTTCCTCTCCATCCCCAATTCAGGTACAAAAAAACGTAGTAAAAAGCTTGTTCCTTTTCTCCCTGCAACTTTCTTCCGAGATAACATAGTTATGCAATTTTCCCCATCAGATGAGCAAATGACTACCAATGGCAATGCGGGTGAGAAGATGCTCCCAGAACCTAACCCTAATGTTGGGCTTGTTAGCTCCAATAAGTCAGTAGCAGCAGCCACAGCCTCCACCATGGGGAACCAGTATTAGCACCGCGGGAGAATGTTTATGGTTCAAGCTGGGTGCTGCTTCATTGAATGGGCAGATCAACAACAACAACCTGTTGGATACTGAACCACGGAAAATGTATTATGGTTCGAGCTGGTGCTGCTTTATCGAATGGGCAGATCAACAACAACAACAACCTGTTGGATACTGAACCACGGAAAATGTATTATGGTTCAAGCTCGGTGCTGCTTTGTCGAATGACCAGATCAACAGCAACAACCTGTTGGATACTGAACCACGGAGAATGCATTATGGTTCGAGCTCAGGTGCTGCTTTTGTCGAATGACCAGATCAACCGCAACAACCTGTTGGATACTGAACCACAGAGAAATGTATTATGGTTCGAGCTCAGGTCCTGCTTTATCGAATGGGCAGATCAACAACAACAGCCTTTTGGATGCTGAATTGAGCATCAGTCATTTCAGTGGGTCGGTATCGGATCTGGATGGGTCTCCTTCTTTAGTCGTTTGATAAGGATTACCTGATGAGGGAAAGATTGGATCTCCTGGGAGATATGGAGATTGATCATGATGCTGAATTTGCAATTCGTCCGAACGAGATGTTGTACGACCAGCAGCACCAGCAGCAGGGTTTTGCTCCAGATCCCTCTGCTGTTGGTTTGATTACAAGTGGTGGGGAAATGCATGAGCAGCAGCATCAGAAGCAGAAGCAAGGTTTTGTTCCTGATGTTGCTCCTGCTGGTTTGATTACAAGTAGAGGGGAAATGTATGAGCAGCAGCAGAAGTTTTTGTTCCGGATCACGCTGCTGCTGGTTTGATTACAAGTGGTGGGGAGATGTATGAGCAGCAACTTCAGCAGCAGGAGGTTTTTGTTCCAGATTCCGCTCTTGCTGATTTGATTACAAATGGTGGGAAAATGTATGAGCAGCAACATCAGCAACAGGAGGTTTTGGTTCCAGATTCCGCTCTTGCTGATTTGATTACAAATGGTGGGGAAATGTATGAGCAGCAGCAACAGGATTTTGTTCCGGATCTCGCCGCTGCTGGTTTGAATACAAGCGGTGGGGAAATGTATGAGCAGCATAATCAACAGCATCAGGCTTTTGTTCCGGATCCCGCTGCTGTTGGTTTGATTACAAGTGGTGGAGAAATGTATGAGCAGCAAAATCACCAGCAACAGGATTTTGTTCAGGATCCCTCTGCTGCTGATTTGATTACGACTGGTGGTGAAATGAATGAGCAGCAGCAGCAATCAGGGTTTTTTGAGTATCCCCATCTTGATGATTTTGGGATGATGCAGTTTGACCAGGGTAACAACCTCGAGAGCGTTCTAAGAATGGATCTTGAGCAGGCACTACAGTTTTAGGTAGAAGATTTGAGAGTAGGGTATGTGCTGATGATTTTGAACACAGCTTCTTGAAGCTTATTGTTTACCATTGTTAGGCCAATTCTTGTACGAGACAGCCTTGTTTTCTTAGTTCTAGGGGTTTAGGGAAAGATTGGAACTTTACTAGGTTTTTTAGCTTAGTTGGAGGCGGAGAGAATTTGATGAACAAGGGATCTTGAGAGATTCTCATGTTTTGTACTCTGGAGAGTGAAGTGAGCAGATCTCTGATAGACCGATAATTATACATGTTTTCACCCCTATTCTGAAGCCGTTTGTGATGAGGAATCTCGTATTTTAAGCCGATTTCACGCTAGGTTGTGTGTTTATGTCATATTTCAGGTCCCGGCGTTGGAATCGAGGCGGAGAAACGAGTTCTGGGTCGAAAGGAGCAAAGTTGGGACGGATAGGGCTAAAGGAGGAAAATACCCGGTCAGGTGGCCAAATACCCGACCGGGTATTCACCACTTTTGGGCGCCCGAGAAGCAGAGAGGGGCCCGGGCACAGCAAAATCCCCGGTCGGGGATTATGGCGATTGACCGGGGATTTTCCCTTAAGCGAAACGGTGCGCTGCAGAGATACCCGGTCGAAACCCAAAATACCCGACCGGGTATTTCGACCGGGTATCGCGACCAGGCAGCTGATTTAAGGAGAAGAAGGCCAACATTGAAGGGTTCCGAGTTTTTGAGAGAGAAATCGATCCTAGAGAGAAAGCGACGAACCAGAGTTCCCAAGCGCCATAGATCGATCTTCAACACCATTGGAGCCCGTTTGAGCTTGGAGAAGTGCGATTAAACGTCCAGGAGCAGAATCCAACTTCACAGTATGATTTCCGCGTCTGAATCTGCTTTTGCTTCTTTCTCTATGGAGTAGTTTCCCCATTCATCTGGGTATGGAGAACCCTAGATTTGTATGCTAGGTCTGATTGTATGAACCCAAGTACAGAGTTTGTGAATTGATTATATTCGATTGAGGTTTGAATGATTGAATGACTTGAATCCTGATCAAATTCCTGTTGTTTCTGCTTTGACCTAGAATGAGAATATCTGCCTAGGTTGATAGAGTACCCTTAATCGAAGGTGGCGAATTGGTGACTTTAGTCGAGGAGCCAATTCGCTATCTGTACCGAAGTTAATTCGGTAGTGGAGGTTTTGGTTCATTAGGGCCTCAATCTGTTTACTCCGGTGGAGGTTAGTCGCCCGCTAGAGACTCAGATTGAGAGGGTCTGGAGACCTTTAGTCGAGACTTCAGGCTAATTGAGAACTTCCGCAGTATAACTTCATGAAACTGAACTTGGTAATTACAATCCGACTTAACTGCAGTCTAGGGGGAACCATATCCGGGTGACCTCTCTTGACTTGACAACAAACCGTTTACTTGCTTTGTGTTCTGTTTGCTTGAGTTGCACTAAAAGTTCACCGCTGAATAACAAGAATTCACCGAGTAGTCATCACATCTAGGACCCGGGTTGACATTAAAACCCGACCCGCTATACTACGCTTTAGGAAGTGGTTATACTTGGCCATTTTCTAGGGTGACAGTAACAGCGAGTCAAGTTTTTGGCGCCGTTGCCGGGGACGGCTAGGTTGTGAAGAAAAGTGATTTCTGTTACTTTAGCATTTTCATTTTTGCATTGAGTTTCTGTTCTTCCCACTTGTGCCTTCACGGGTTTGCATTGCTTGATTGTGTGCAGCTAGTGCATGACCCGTAGCCAGTCGGGAGGTTTACTGCATTTGAATCCTGAGATTGAGCGCACCT